AATAAAAACCCTCATACACTCATATTCACTTGTGATTTCTGCCTTTTAGCAGTGGCTTCTAAAACTGCTTCCCAATTTGCTTGAAATTCCCCACACACCCTAATTATCATCAAATTACAACAGCTGTACTATTCTCTTCCTAACACCTTTATTTTAGTTTCATCACTACAAATCTTAGCTGGCACTTTTTCCCCGTTGTGTCTTTAAAAATCCAATCACTGTTTTTCAGCAATAAGACATACACACAGTGACTCACACCTGGCTCCGTGACTATGATGTCAAGGGCTCGAACCTCTTATCTCATTCCCAGTCCGATTGACTGGTTCTGGCCTGTGGCCTAACTGCTGTCTATCAAAGCCCACTCAGCAGTTCTTAACTCGTACCAGAATTCTACCAACAGGCTGAAGCCCTGCAGAGACTAACAGCAGTATCCGTTCAAGTTGTACAGCGCTTATCTTAGGACATGGCCAGTTCAGCCCCTTTCCTGCATCAGAGGAGCACAGATAAATGGTGTGATTGTACGTTCAAGGGAAGGCAGTATCTGCTCACCTAAATCTTAAATTAGGTCCAAGCCCATTCGATCCTCTTCCTTTTCTTGTAACTAAACAAAAAGGGAGGGTTTGTAATCTTACAATTAAGAGGGAGTGGTATCTGCCCCACCTAAAGCTAACTATTTTTCAGTTGCCTGTCTCTCTCGCCTTTTGATACACTTCCTCAACACAAAGGAACAGCACAGGATTTGCTTCTCTTCATCTGTGGATGCACTGGGCCCTGTCCTACTGGAGCAGGTCGTAGGAACACAGACTGCGTGGACATCTCAAAGCACACCATCTGTTTGGCTTCAGGGATGTGCAACACCCAAAGTGCAAAACACTTCACACACACCATAAAAAATGAAGCACTACACACAGAACTGCAAAAGCATTTATTAAAATCTAACTTTTGGCACCAAATTCCCCACACACTTCATCCACATTAACTGATTTTGTTTTCAGAAAAATAAACCCTGCTGTGCTGAAATTCACACATTTATCTTTGGTGGCCTGCTGCACAAATTACAAACTTCACTACAAAAACAAGCATTTTGTTTTTTCCTTCACAGTAAATTAGTCCTACATATAGCACAGTCAATTTTACAAACAATACAGTGCCTTGCGAAAGTATTCGGCCCCCTTGAACTTTGCGACCTTTTGCCACATTTCAGGCTTCAAACATAAAGATATAAAACTGTAATTTTTTGTGAAGAATCAACAACAAGTGGGACACAATCATGAAGTGGAACGAAATTTATTGGATATTTCAAACTTTTTTAACAAATAAAAAACTGAAACATTGGGCGTGCAAAATTATTCAGCCCCTTTACTTTCAGTGCAGCAAACTCTCTCCAGA